CCAAACTTCTCTAGCTAGACACAAACTAAATTATAACATAACAATTTAGACCAAGGAATTTTGGTATAAAGCTTCAAATTTTGAACTGCATGCTTCACATATTGCTTTTGAAAGTAGAGCATAGTGTCACCTCCCAAAAGAGCCCTTAGGGGTGGTGGGCAACCTAGGACTTAAATATTGCTTTTCGGTCACCTCCCAAAAGAGCCCTTAGGGGTGGTGGGCAACTTAGGACTTAAATATTGCTTTTCGGTTCTACCCCTAGCCGATGTGAGACTATTTGTTCGTGACATTCTCCTTCACCCAATCACATGAAGCCCTCGTCACGGATCGGCTCCACCGAGAGTCCCACTCGATCATGGAGAGTCCACACACCTGGCAGACAGTAACCTGCTCTGATACCACTTGTCATCTCCCAAAAGAGCCCTTGGGGGTGGTGGGCAGCCCAGGACTTAAATACTGTTTTCGGCCTACTCCTAGCGGATATGGGACTATTTGTCCGTGAAAATAGCCTACCTTTATTTTCTATCATAGGAATATTAAAAAATATCAAAAATGAAGTTGGATTAACTTATTTTCCTTTAAATTTTATATATTTATGGAAAGCTATTTTTCAAAATAATTGGACATACCATCAGCTGCAGTGAAACTCAAATAATATAATCATCAAATTAGATGTCCTCATTAGGCAAACCAAGCTTTAATACTAAATTAATTTATTCACAAGTGTTGCGAAAAATTTCTAGAGAGAACCTTCTTACACAAGGCTTCGGCAAGCTTGCTAAGGCTTCTTACTCCCCTTAAACCTCTCAGGGTTATACGATCTTTTACAAAATTAGCTTTTCAAAACTAAAACACTAAGATAAGCTTTGGCTAACACATAATTTGGCCGCAAAATGTGAAAGTAGTTGTATTGTGTAGTTGTGCCTAGAAAAAGTGAATCTACTATGAAGAAATATGGCTAACACATAATTTGGCCGCAAAATGTGAAAGTTGTATTGTGTAGTTGCGCCTAGAAAAAGTGAATCTACTATGAAGAAATATTATGTTCTATGCCTTGTGGTTTACGTGTATCTCCTTCATGTGTTATGAGTTTTGACTACCTTATATTGAATCATTTTATTGGATTACTGACTTGACATAGCATCACTTTTCTATAACATCACTTGCTATTGAATTCACTTGTGATTTTACTATAGTATAATTTTCCCAATGAAGTTCATATTTTACTAGGAAATCATCTCTAGCTAAGGCACAAATATTTTCTAAGTTGTCTTCTTGCCAGTTTGGAAATTGAATTTATTTTTTCTTATCTTTATCATGTTCATTTTTTTTTCTTCTGTATTTTTTATTAATGGCATATCTCCTTTAAAGATAATTGTTGAAATCTCCATAAAGTTCTAATCAATTCAGATTAAAATATTTCTTTGTTGTGGCATATCTTTCTTCATTCTGAAGTTTGATGAATCTTCTTCAATAAAGCTTTATGGAGGCATGTTGTTAGGCTAGTCAAATAACTATATTCGATATAAGTGAAATAATTTTTGAAGCTCACGATCCTTTCAAATGGATCATTTTTTGTTACTTGAAAAAACTATTTCAAGTGTTTTGATACATTGAAGGAAGAATATGCTTGATTTTATCAAAATCGTCAAGATTAACCTCGAGTTAATGCTAAATCCCTCTCTAGGCTGTGATTTTTTGTCATTTCACTTGAGGCAACTGCCATTCATGTGATACTTGTAGGAGCTGCCGTTGATCAATGATGTATATACTGAAGAAAAATAAATGAGTGTGGTAATGGGAATAGAAAAGAAATTATATTTTCAATCTTTGTAAATGTTAATTTTAAAAATATTGCATCGTTAGCTAGATATCTTCTTTTTGCTGACAATTAGCTTCATTGCAAATAATATTATTCAGCCTGATTATCAGTCAATTTATTAGCAAGTGATATTATGACAGTGACAGATATCCATAAAGATGATTCATATTAAGCAAGGTGGGCACAATGTAAGCAAGGTGGGTCATAACATAAGCTAGGTGGATGGATGATGGTGAGAGATGGGATTCAGCGTATTGTCACAAGACATGCGTTTTGTAGGATGAGTACTGACACTGACAGCCAGGGATTGTGTAGCTGGGTTATCCATAGTAGGCAGCCAGCCTAGCTATTAGGATTTTGATGGGTTCTGATGCTCCTTTACTTTTTTCTGTTTTATTTAATCCCCTGATATTTTAACTCTTTTAGCCAATTGTCTTGTAAAAGTTATTTTCCTATGATTCTATGATCTATTTTATATCTCAGATCCTATATGCATTCTGTGTGGGATGCATTTGAAGTACCTCATTATGCGCTCTTCTATGGTCTCAGCCATGTTGAGATATATGACCTTCCTAGTGGTTCTTTGGGCTGAGTTTGACAACCTTGTCTATTTGACTAATCGAACTGAGTTTGATGGTGCAATGGATTGTTCTTTTCTACCAGTAGAAACTGATTGGACTTGGCTAGTCATCTCCTCTTGTGGGTCAAGTGGGTCATTTTCCCTTGAATCATGGTTCATTCTAGGTGGCTTCTTTTGGGCCTAAATTTGGGTTTCCATGCCGAAATTCATCAATTCAGCGGGATTAACAATCCCAAACAACATTAGTGTAGTTCCAAGCAACCTGCAATAACTTTGGAGTAAAAGAAACCATACTTCTCAACTTATTTTTAAGTGTCTCTCTTGTGTCAACTTTGAACTGCATGCTAAGCTCTTGAACAAATTATTTTAATAATTGTTAAATCTTGTTGGGCTACTTGTGAAGAGGTTCATCAATGCCTTTGAAAGAGTGATCATTATTAAACTCCTCTTTGAAGAAGGAAGACAAGACATGATGATCACAAAACACATTAACTAATGGAGGAACTTAAGCATGTGATATGAGTAATAATCTAAAAAATGGTAAGATGTTCAACTCCTACTCGCCAATATTAATGATCACATGGCACCGTTACCTATACATGATCGCTTTAATCATTTTCCTGTGCTCCGAGGGATGTGGGTGCAGAAATCCCGCGGTTCCACGATGTGTGAAACTCCTAGAATAGCGGGGGTGATGAACCGCCTAAATGCCCCCCGTCTCGTTATCAATTCGACAAGGTTTCTTATCTTTTTTTGTTCATTTTTCTATTTTTTTATTTCTACTACAAGTCTTTTATCCCACTAAGTGGGCTTGGCTACATCAATATTGTTTCTGCATTATGTCCTTTTGAGTGTCCTGTTTTCATTTAATTCTAATAAATTAAGATCATTTTTTATACAATTTGCCGAAGTCTTTTTAGGTCTACATCTACCTTTCATAACATAAGTTGAATTTAAAACATCTGCTCTCCTAATCAGATCATCAGATGACCAACGTTTAATGTGACCAAACCATCTAAGACAACTCTGTAATCTTTTTTGACACTGGAGCTACACTAACCCTTTGGCGGATACATTCATTTCACATTTTGTCTCTGTTTCAAGCCACTAATCCTCCTATGCATTCTCATTTCAACAAAATTTAAATTAGTTTCATGCTTCTCTTCTAAAGGTTGACAGTTTGCGCCATAGCATTGCAGGTCTCACCGCCTTTTTCTTTATTTTTAATTAGGGTTATTTTCTATCAGAAGACTATATATTTGGTATTTTACTGTTTTGATTTTCTGCTCTCTTGAGTTTTGTGGCCTCTTCTTTTTGTGAGTGGCGCGTCTGTTGTATTTCCAGGAACAAGTGGTGGATCCCCTTCAGTAACTGTGCCTCGTTGGGACTGGGCTATTTTGGTTCTTTTCAGTTTTTCTAGTCCAGACCAGCCGTTAGACTAGGGCTGTAAACGAGCCGAGCTTAAGCAAGCTCAGACTTGGCTCGTGTTCGGCTCGTTCGAAATAGCTCGTGTTCGAAATCGGCTCGTGAACAGTGTGTTCGTGTTCGGCTCGATTTAAATATTTGTGTTCGTGTTCGTCTCGAAATTAGCTCGTTAAACACTAACCACATTGCCACATGAGGTATTATGATTTAAACTTAGATATAAATATATATAATATATTATTATATAAATAATATATGTAATATATTATTATATAAAAACTTATATAATTTTTTTATTTCGAGCTAAAACGAGCTGAACACGAGCGAACAAAGAGCTGTTCGTGTTCGGCCCGTTTATAATTCGAGCTTTAAAAATTTGTTCGTGTTCGACTCGTATACTTAACGAACGAGCCGAACACGAGCTACTTAATGAGTCGAACACGAGCTGTTTGCGAACAATGAGCTTTTTTGACAGCCCTACATTAGACGCTTCATCTACTCTCCCAAACATCGTCAACCTTTCATATTCTGTTTCCCTTTTATTCCACACCCATCTTCCAACAAATCCGCTTCCTAGATATCTTCTTGAAGCCTTAGAACGGTGTCGCTGGGACTGCTCCTCTAGTGATAATTAGAAGAATGTGAAGCTCTTAGACTAAAATGAGGTGCGAAGCATGCTGCTTCAACATGAAATGGATTTAAGTTTTTGGTTCTAATGATCCACACGCAGTATGCTCAAATGATTACGCCTTCCTATTTGAGGCCAGCATTATTCGAGTTGCTAAAGAAGAGAAGATCAACAATGCTCAAAGAAAATACCTAGAGTAATTGACAACTGTTTTTTTTTTTTTTTCAGAAACAATTGGATATGTTTCCCCTTCTTGCGCCATAATATCACTAAAATCTGGAGCTACACCATTTCATCTACATTTTTACCATGTTTTTTAAGCAGTCTTTCACTTGAATCTTCATTCAGTTTATCTTTATCAGTCATTTTATTTGTTTTGTTTTCTTGTGCTTTAGGCTTTCTTTGATTTAGAGCTCTGTGAGAGAGCGCTGGATCTCTTTGATGATGATCCTTCTCTCTGTGTAAGATCTACAAACATATATATATATTTTTTGCTAATTCTCTTGAAGTTCCATAAGTGACCAGAAGACACATTTCATGCCCAGGAAATTCTACACAAGCATCTGCTCGAAGCACTGGCAGCTCCCATTGTCGACAAACTCATTCAAACTCTGGTAAAGATCACATTATACAATTTTTTGCACAGAGCTTGGAAATTTAATTGCAATGATGGACAGACATTCTAAATGAAAATGAAAAGAAATAAGAAAGAAATTATGCTAGCTTGTTATGATCCATTTTAATATTTTATAGTCTGGCCTAACTGTTTTTGTTAGTTTTTGTTACCTATATATGAATTTCATATATGTCACTCAAATGTGTATTTACATATATAACACAAACTTCAATTTTTACATAAATACCATCTCACCTATGCATGAAAATGTGTATTTCACTATTTAAAAGTTTAAATTGTGGTATTTTTTATGTTATATGAAAGATTTGGGTGGTTTATGAAAGATTTGGGTGGTTTAAAGTGGTTTAAATGTAAAAAAGCCAAGTTTAGGTGTTAGATATGTAATATATAGAAATGGGTGGTGTGTATGTTAATGCTCCTTTTGAATTAAACAACAGCGTGGTTAAGCTTTTGAATTAAATAATTGTTAGTCAGATACAGTTGGCCATTTCAGGCATTCCATTATATAGTAATAACTGGATGATTCTCTGTTTTAGAAGGTCATCATGAATTTCTTTCTTAATTAAAGTCACCGTCAAATGTTTATAATTTTTTTTAGGTCACGGATAGCAAACTAAAAGAAGGAATCAAAATTGAAGTAGGAGAAAATTTTGACGCTGTACAAATAACCTCTGCAAACCGTGTCTCTTTGGTTTGATACAATCTCTCACATATTTACAAGCTCTGCTTTTGATTTTAAAGTTTTGAATTCCAGGATATGAACTTTAATGATCTATTTCTGTTAGGCTAAGAGCTTGCCCGATTCGCTATCAACAAAGGTTCAAGCTGTTGTTGAAGCATTAGAAGAAAAGGTCGGTGCTATATTAGGAGAATGCTTGCCTGAGTTGTTATTTGATGCTCATTACTATTTTTATTGTCAAATTTTAATGCTTCTTCTTTCATTTTTGGGTGAGCTTGAGGAATTCTTAGTTGTTTTGATCTAATTAGTTTTGTTGGTAAATTTGGACAGGGATCATATGTTTTTTTTTTTTTTTTTGTCAAGCTTTCTCAGCCACCAATTTTCCAATATTCTTTAAGTTAGAATTGCTCTGTTAAGTTAAAACCACTTTTTTTCTTTTTTTGGAGCCACCGTTATTGGATTTTCACATTCCTAGTCCTTTATGCATTGCAAATTTATCATTTTTGTTTTTTTTTATAAAATAATGCAAAGTAAAGCTTTGTTTATTTTACAGCCAGGGTGTAAATGAGCTGAGCTTAAACAAGCTCAGTTGTTGTTTGACTTGGCTCGATAAGCAAACATGCCAATTTTTTATTTGAGTTTTGGTCATTTGTTTATCTAGCCAAATATGAGTTGTCCATGAGCATGCAGACTACTAAAAACTCTTTTATGAATTATAAAATGTATTTATCCCAAAAATATACACATACGAATATGAGTGTGTATACGCACATATGCAGACAAATATAAATAAACATACTTGCACTCATAAGACAAATGATCCCATGTAAATAATTGAGGATTATTTTGACATTCTAGTCAGAAATATATATATATATATATATATATATATATATCAGTTTTACCCTGTTAAGCAATCGGGTTTGTGAAAATTAGTTGAAATCAAGCTAGCTATTGAGCTTCACAAGTGAAAACAACAAGCTTTTTTGTGAACCATATTTTCAGCTAATTTATATCACATTACATCTTATTGGTAAAAAAAATGAAATTAATATGAACTAAGATGTAATTATGAATTTGGCATGCATCCTCGTTGGGACTGGGGAGTACTTGATTCTAAGTGCTTTGAGATGCTAATAAGGACTTGCTTGTCTAAGTATGAACATTTCTTTGCTTACAAAATTCCATGTCTTTTTATTTGGTAATATCATATTTAATAGTTTTGCATGCTGCACCTTTTCTAGTAATAACTTAATATGGAAGTGGAAAAAAAATTATAACGAAAATGATTTGTGTGAATTTCATCTGTCTAGATGTTCCCTTCATGATTTCAATGGTAGATGGTGCCATTTTAGATAACAATTTATAAAATTTTATTGTATATTGCTCTCTGAAACACTTCTTCACCCGTTCACCTTTGACTTTTTCTTATTTTTTTATAATGCAATTTTATTGATGCACTTTCAATTTAACTTTCATGTCTACTGGCTTGATCATTGTAAGCAATGCCTGGCCATTGTAACCTTTTGTAAAAAACAATTCTTTTTTGGGTACACTTTTTCCTTGTATATGTTTTGAGTTGTCTAATATTATGGATGTAAGTTCAATAATTTCACTAACTGCTTCCATTCCCGGTGACTTGATTGATATGGAACTAATGCGTGGCAGCATGTGGGCACTTTCACGGCTGCATTCAAGGATCTCGCAGAGGAGAGGTCATTAACCCACTTTATTATGACCTATGTGTGAAAATAGTTATCAATTTAACTCCCTTTTTTTATTATTGCAGTGGAGTAGAATTGAAGAAGCTTGATGACAAATTAGAGAAGTCCCTGTTGCAATCCTATGGAAAGGTATGGTTAAAACGTTAATAAGTGCATCTCCATCATAGTTTACTCTGTTAATATTGACTGCAATTAGCAAGTGATCTTCTTTTTAACCATTTATCTTGCTGTTAGATGACCACAGAAATAAATCCCACCCTTTTCTGGGAAAGATAACTAACTATTAGGGTTAGTGTTTATCCATCCTTAGAGGTGTTTTTTTACGCAAATGGCAACGTGCATTTGTAATTAATTCCGTATTTTGTTTTTCTTTTGAGAATTTCTGTTTGATGTATGTCCCTTTTGTTATTTTTGAACTGCTTTCTGCTTGTGATAACCCTATTCCAAAATTTTATATGAAGCCTTAAAATATGCGCAATAAGCCTGATAATTAGGATCGACTGTTGTTTAGTAGATGACTATTAAATTATTTGTCAAACTTTTTCATTTACACCAACTCACTGAAGATTACAACAATAACAACAAGAAGTCTTTATCCCAATAAGTGGGGTTTGCTACATGAAACCTTTTTATCCATTGTGTTCTATATTTTCATTTAATTTTAATAAATTAAGATAATTTTCTATACAATATGCCCAAGTCTTTTTAGGTCTACCTTCGCCTTTCTTAACATAAATCGGATCTAAAACATATACTCTTCTAATCTAATCATCAGATGGTCGACGTTTAATGTGACCAAACCATCCGCCACTGGAACTACACCGATCCCTGTCACAGATATATTCATTTCACATTTGATCTCTAAGTGTAAATCCACTCATCAACCTAAGCATTCTCATCTCGACAACACTTAACTCAGTTTTATGCTTCTCTTTTAAAGGCCAATATTCAACCATAGAGCATTGCAGGTCTCACCACCATCTTATAAAATTTTCTTTTTAGTCTATGAGCTACTTTTCTATCACACAATAGACCCTAAGCATTCCTCCACTTCAACCAACCAACTTGAATTCTACTAATAACATCCCCATCTATAGATCCGAGATATCTGAAGCGTTCACACCTTTAAATAATTTGATCACCTATAGTTACAACTCTGTTACTAGAGCTACTACTACTAAAATTACATTCCATGTATTAAATTTTATTTCTACTCAAACAAAGGCCTTTACACTCCAATGTAGACCTCTATAATTCAAGTTTTTCCTGAGCATTGTCTCTAATCTTATACACGAGAAGAATATCAACAGCGAAAAACATACACTAAGATTCATCCTCCTGTAAATGTCCAGTAAGAGCATCTAAAACTAAAGCAAAAAGATATGGGCTTAAAGCCGATCCCGGATGTAGTCCAACTGAACTAGAAAAATATTTTGTTAATCCTTCTTCTGTTCGAACACAAGTAATGACTCTAGTATACATATCTTTAATGATTTGAATATAATTCATGTCAACACCTTTCTTCTCTAGAACTCTTCAAATGATATCTCTTGTTTTCTAAATCAATAAAAATCATATGTAGATTGTCCTTATTCTCTTTGAACTTCTTCATCAAGCCTCTCAATAAATGCATTGCTTCCATCTTAGACCCGTTCGACATGAATCCAAATTGATTATTAGAAATCTTTGTAATATGTCTTAACCTATGTTCAATTACTCTCTCCCATAATTTGAAAATATGGCACATTAACTTAATTTCTCTATATATTTCTCACTCTTGTGCATTCCCTTTATTCTTAAAAATGGGGACCAAAATACTCTTCCTTGGGGACCAAAATACTCTTCCTTTACTCCTCAGTCATCTTTTAGTTTTTAAAATAATATTAAAGAGTTTAGTAAACCAAGAAACTCTCAAAAATTCTGTATGTTTTCACACTTCAATTGAGATATCATCAGGTCCTACAGACTTTCCAGCATTGGTTTTTCTTAAAGCCTCATCAACTTCTTTTTTACTAATGCGACGGTAAAATGAAACATTTTATTAATATTAATGCTATTAAAATCACTAAGGTTGATCATATTTTCGGAAACATCATTAAAAAATTTATCAAAATAACTCACAATTTGTGTTGAATATCTTTTTTTAAGAAAAATACCTTTTGAGTTTCATTTTTAATACTCTTTACTTGAGTTAAATCTTTACCTTTTTTTTCTCTTTGTTTGGCTAGTTTATACATATGTTTCACTCTCTTTAGCATCTAATATATTATAAAAATTACTAAAAGCAAAATTTTTAGTGTCACGGATTGTTCTCTTAGACTCCTCACTGGCCATTTTATATTTTCCCCTCCTTTCTAAGCTTTTACATTTAAACCAATATTTATAACATAATTTCTTATGTTTTATCGTTTCTTTCACATTATTATTCCACAAACTATTTTTATTTATATAAACTTTTTCTTTTGATCCAAGTACATCTTTTGTCACTTGTTAATAGTGTTTGTTACTTTATTCCACATAGAATTTGTTTCTTCATAAACATCCCAAGTTTTGAAATATTAAAGTTTACTCATAAAAATAATTTTATTTGTGTATTTTAGGTGTCATTATCTAATTCTATGACAATGATTCCTAATTTTTTTTATTTTACAATTCTTCATCTTATAATCTAGAATTAATAATCGATGTTGAATACTTAAATCTTTATTTAGAATGACCTTACAATCTTTACATTCTCGACGATCTCTTATTCTCATAAGAAAAAAATCAATTTGTATTTTATTAAATCCATTCTTTTAAGTAATAATATGCTTATTTCTTTTATTGAATAAAATATTATATGATGAATAACAAAATCATATGCTAAAAAAAAATCTAAAATGACTCTACCTTCTTCATTAATCACTCTAAAACCGTAGCCACCATGAATATTTATAAAATCGTCTACCACTCTACCGACATATTCATTTAAATCTCGTCAAATTAAATTTTTTATTTAAGAGGTATTATTTGTATTAAGTCTTCTAGGTCATTCCATAATTTTTTTTAAAAACCTGTATCTAACCTACTTGAGGAGCATAAACACTTATAATATTAAAAATCTTAGTATCAATAATAATCTTAAGAGCTATAATTCTATCTTCATTTCTTTTAATTTTTACAACATTATCTTTCAAGCTCTTATTTATAATTACACCTACATCATTTATAGTGCAACTCTTATTTACCTGAATACCAATTTTTATAACTTATCTATCTCCTTAGCCTTTTCTTCAACACATTTTGTTTCTTAAATATATAAGATATTTATCTTTATAAAAATCATAATATCAACTAATTCCATTAATTTACCTGTGAGAGTGCCCATAGTCCAAAATCGTATTCTAATATTAGTTTCATAGACTAACTTCTTTACCCTCATCCGTCCGTAGTGTGGAAATTCTTGCTCATTTGACACAACTTTCGGGCGTCGGTGTAGTGGTCCTTGCACATTGTGGAAATTCTTGCTCATTTGACACAACTTTCGGGCGTCGGTGTAGTGGTCCTTGCACATTTTTCACTGTATTCAGACCATACAACGAGTCGTTTCGAGGGGACGCCCTAACATTTACACAATGATCAAAAGGATTCATGTCATAATTTTTCGTCAAATTTTACATTGGCTGTCGACTACGTAACACGACCCTCCATTTTTCACTGAAGATTACAAAATTCGATAATTTACCATTCTTGCTTTTTGCATCTTGTTTTTCTTTAATTTTAGCATAGATCATTTGTTTTTGTCAATTTTCATTTCCAGCGTTGGTTATTTGATGCTAATGTTTAAACTGATATATCTGATGTATCATGTTATACAGGATTTAGCCTCACAGATTTCTTTGGAAACAGATCCGTTAGTGCTTTTGCCAAAGATTGTAGCTTTGCTTTATTTGCAGGTCAGGAAGCTATGCTTGCCTTCTTATGTTTATATCTCTGTAAATCCACAAGTGCAATATGGATATTATTTCATCATTTTACTTTAATAATGGGCTCCTGTTATGATCCGGTGTTCTGTAGGTACACAACAAGGCCCTTCAAACACCTAGAGAGGCCATAGCTGCTCTGATTTCTCGACTTAAAGTAAGCGCTAACCTATTCTTGATCCCTTAGGTTCTTTGATAATTGTGCTTTACTAACATTGCTTTGAAAGGTTGAACCTTAATTGAATTGTTTAACACAAAATTGGAAACAAATATACCTGCTAACAAGTGCTTTTTGTGTCAAATGCTGGCCTAATGTAGAATGGAGGAAAGGAAACGAACTGAAATTATCTGCCAAACATATCTTGATATTGCTTGAAAAAGTTTTGATGTGGCTGTATCCATACACACACGTACAAGGGCCCAAGGTTATTCAATTTTGAAAATTTGAAGGCATTAAATGCCGAACGCTCGATCTATGATTTGATAAATTAAAATGAATTATCCGATTGAGTGCTTGGAATTTTTGGCTAAATTCAGTAGAATGTCAATTTTTTTACCCTCATTTTTCACATGAAAGGAGAATCTTAACTTAAGCTCGGAGAACTTGTGGACATGAAGAAGTCTTGAACTCTGTTAGATGACCAATGCCGACCACCATCAACAATCACAGTCACCTGACTATATCACCTGACCAACATCACATGATTATCGTCATTCGACAACAATCTGTGACCAGTATTGTTTTTTCACCATCACTATCATCCAACTTTCATCCCCCGATCTCCCTCTTTACCTCTACCTTGAATTGACTCCATTGCTTTGTAATACTATTTTCTCTATGTAGCGGAAAGAATGGACCTTTGTAATCTCAACTACTTTAGATTATTTCTCTCTGCCTTCCTCACAAGTGCAAACACACATGCATGTGAAGCTGCAATAATTATAGAGTTTTTCCATGTTGACGGCAAAGGACGGTTAGGCCTTCAAAGGGTTTTTGGTCGCCCTATTTGGACCTTTACATGGACCCCCCAGCATTGTCACCCCTATATGCTTTAGCTTTCAATAGTTATGGGCCGTCCATGGATGCTGACATATTATGAGGAGCTTACTAGCAGATCTATGCGTACTTTACTTGCAGCAGAAACATGCAGCTTACTTTAGCTGCTAATGGAAATGAGGCTATTTGGATGATAAGATAAGGTTGCAAGCACATTGGTGGTTTTCTGGCATCAGATGAGGAAATAGTTGGAAGGAATTCACCAGAATGGATCAAAATGAATGCAAGAAATAAAATGGCTAGGTCTTGAGTGGAAGTTTTTTAGAATATTGGTGCTAACCTGTGGTTTGAATGAAAGCAAAGGGACCTGAATGCAGTTTACCATAGATTTAAATCAGCTGCATATTAAGGGACTTCACAAACTTGTTCTCTTTTCAAAATCGATGATTGGTATTAGCTATTGAACACAAAAATGAGTCTCCAAATCTTCATTGATGCTTAAATAAAGCTGTTAATTTGATTTTTGTTTGCAGATTTGCAAATGGATAAGTAGTCATAAACTATTTTCAGGAACTTTAATGGTCAGACATAGCATCATTTAAATTTTGTTATTTGATAGTTTTAACTTGTATGGCATTGAAAAGTGGGGTCTTTGAGGGAGTTTTTTGGGAAGTTATTTTGCCTTATGATTTTATTTAGCCAAAAATCATAGGTACTATTTTAAATCAATTCTCTGCATTATACCTTCAATTTACCCGAAAAGTGTCAAAATAGTCCCCTAATTCTTTGTTGGGGATCATTGTAGTCTCAGAGCCTATAGAAGTGTCAATTTATGCTCAAATTTCTCTTAATATAAGCTAGCAAAGTCTCCAAGGGGGGACTATTTCAGCCTTGATCTAAAGAGTTCGGGGACAAATTTGGCACTTTTATAGACTCTAGGACTAAATTGACGTCATATAAAAGGTCAGGGGACTATTTTTGGCATTTTACTCTATAACTCACCATTTTGTATGTTTCAATTTCTCTGATTTTACATTCGTAGGATAAATTGCCGGAAGAAGCATATAAGGTCTTGACGGATTACCATCGATCAACGGTCAAAATTTTAGCATTGCAATCTGCTGCGACTGAAGACGTGAGTATTTCTGGATTAGTCTTCATCTTTAGCAACTTCCTAACATTTCTGTTTTAGCTATATGAATTTTTTTATGCAACTTCTAACAATGCTATATTCAATGTATGCCTTTTGCTTCTTAATTCTTATGCATTAACTTTATCTAACCACTTTTTTGGCACATTTTCTGATCTCTTATATATATGCTCACGCCACATAAGTTTATTCTCAGCCATCTTATTCTTAATAAGTGCTACAAACGCCAACTCTCTAATCCGATTATCATTTCTCTTGCAGAAGCTACTTTTATGAAATTGTAAGATCTTTAATTTTATAGCCAAACCTAAACGAAGTTTAGAAATCTTAGTTCTAAGAGCTAATAGTTGGGTTTAGTAGGTTAATGCCTGGTGGGCCTTTTTTCACACATAGTGAGTGTTTTATATTACTTATCTTAAATGCCATTTAGTTAGGGCTTGTTTGGGATCACTTATAATTTTTGTTTTTATTTTAATAACGTGCTTGTTTATGACCATTTTTTGCATGTTTTTATTTTGGGGCATTTACATACATCCACGCAGTTCTTACATATTTACATATGTAACACCTAAACTTTAATTTTTACATTCATACAGCCCAAATCTTTTTTATCACATAAAAAATATCACCATTTTCACATTTAAAAAGTGAAATGCACCTCTTTATGCAACAGGGAAGGTGTGATTTTGAAAATTGAAGTTTAGGTGTTAGATAATGTAAATACATAAGAATTTAGTGGTATATCTGTAATTCTTCCTTTTATTAGTATCATTTGTTTTGATTTCTTCACAATTCTATTTACTTCTTGATGGTTGTTACAACTGTTACCAAGCAAATAGGCCACACTAGACAACTTGTTACCTTCAGCATATTTAAAAACAGCAATTTTATATAACAGGAGCCAAGTAGAACGTAGGGCACCAATTGTCACTACAGTACTAGCAAAAATTCTCCAAAATAAAGAAACCTGACGTATTCTTAATCAAGAATCGGAAATGACTGAATTAGGGATGAGATGGAAGTAAAATAACCTGCAGCCAAAAGTCATATTTAAAGAGGCTATTAAAAAACTATAGAGCTCCTTTTGCGCGTTTAAAAATAATCATCAAATGTATGGAACATACAATAGCAAAGAAAATAATGAAGACAGATACCATTTAAAATCATGGAGTAGAAAATCAAACTGAACCGGCGGTTCAACTGGTTAAATTCACAGTGAATTGGTCCTGCAACTGCTTTGATCCATGGTTATCATTGATCAAACTATCGCTCGGTTCATTTTATGAAAATGTCACCATTTTTATATGGCTAAAACTTAATCTTGATATAAAAAATTATATTATTTAAGTAATATATAGATAATTTAACATTTATTGTGTCATCTAGCTCAACTCATAATTATATTCCAATTATAACTTTTTTGAGTTCGATGCTTAGTTTTTTTTTTTTTATTTAAAACTTGACAGATAATAACATTGCATTTTATTGGTATTTTCAATAAATTTAGACTTCAAGATTTAGTTAACTATTTTTTAATTCACTAAAGCTATTATTCTATCTTTGATCTTTGAAATAATTAATGAAATTAAGATGGGTTGAAGGTATTATCATGGGATTCAACAATATAGGTGTACCTGTGAGGGAATTGTATCAATATTGAAATTGGTAGCTTGGCACATCAATTGGTTAATTAACTCTTGATGTGCAATACTTCTATTTTTTTGTTTATTTCCTGTTTACTTCATTTATTCTGAATTGGTTTTGGATTGATTTATCTCGGAGTCAAATTCAAGCATATCCAAAATTGATTATTTTGAGATTAATGATGGCTTGTTTGTAAATTTGCGTTGTTTTATTTATTAATGATTGTCTCGTCTTCGTCAGCTGATCTTTTTGCTCACTTGCTAAAATAGGAAGAAGATTGCACCGCAGACAGGATTTTAAGCAACCAGGAGTATCTAGAGAGCAAAAATGGCGAACTAAAGGCTCTGGTTCTGAAAAACACGAATTCTGAGGCTTAGCGTGCGACCTTAGAAATGCATGTTTCTTCTCATTACTCACTGATGTTGCATACGGTTATGTTTATGAGGCAACGAAATGATTTGAGATTAATAATTGTTCCTTTTTCAGAAGCTTAATATTCTCACTGCATTTATACATTTTTATGGACAAAGTTGTAAATGATCATATTTAACTCATATAATTAGAAGATAGGAGCATTAACATACTTACCACTACTCTATATTTTGCACATCTAACAACTAAATTTTAATTTTTTTATTTAAGTATATTTTTTTTTACATAATTGAGCCAACCCAAATTTTGCTGTTTTTAATGTATTAATTTTGCTAAAATATTACTAATGATATAAAAACTAGCAAATAAATGGCATATATTGGCATCTAATGAACACAGTTTATGTAATTATCTCACGCATACACGGATTTACAACATTTCCCAAGTCAAATTCCGTCCTTTTTTGGTTGCTCTGACTAAAAGCATGGGCTATATAACTGGCTAAAAAGCATAAGATGTGCTGTGATTCCTAAGAAACAAAAATTTATAAAAAACTCGCTGAAAGAAAAACAAATAATTGCAAAACTAAACAATGACACATTATACATCAACTAGCGCCTGACTGATCGGATAACCCAAAGGAACCATTCTGATGATTGCTGGTTCTTTGGCTAACTTCATGAACATACCAAGCTATTTGTCTGCTTCGAAGGCCTATATCTCCGTCGAACCAACCTTTGAATAAATTTTAAAATTATTCATGGCTCGAATCATAGCCTTCATGGTAGGTCATTACTTCAGTCGGTGGAGCTCGAATCCGATGGATGCAATATTGTTCCTTTGGAGCTCATTGTTGCTCAGTACTTAGGCCTAATATCCCAAGAGTTTGACTGCATAAAAAAAGTAATAGTCAAAAACATAATAGCAGGAAGAGAAATAATAGGGAGATTTACATCCATACCACTCAACTCCTATGTATTTACCAATCTAACACCTAAATTTCAATTTTTACATTGATGCCACCTTGTATGCTCCCGTTTCACATATTTTAAAAAATGCATCTCTCTCTCACACACACACATTCTTATTATTTTATAAATTGTGCTGCTCGTCGTGATTCTTTAGTGGACATCTACGAAGTCGGTTAAAAGTCCATTAGGCTCACGGATTCGAGCCCGCCTGAGTGCATCTGACTTGCAACGCGAGATCGATTTGTTAGGCATGTGTGTGGTTGGGTATATATATATATATACAATCTAAAATCGTATGTGTAAACAATATTAAGGGTGCAACACTCATATCTTTTAGAAATCTGACACACCTTCAAGTATCATCGAAATAGTGTAAATAACATTTTAGTTCCCTCTATCTTTCAAAAACTCAAACACTTTCACATACATCTCTAATAAAAAAAATCATTACCATTAACCAAATTAAAACTAATGTAGGAATGCAAATATTTAGTCCCTTGGCATACTAGAACATAGATTTTGTGTGTAAATGAATATAAGTTTTATTAGATCCACTTATAAGTAATAATATGCTTATCTCTTTTCTTAAATAAAGTATTAGAAATAACAAAATAATACGCTACAGCAAAATCTAAAATGATTCTATATTCTTCATTAATTACACTAAAATCATAGCCACCACGAATAATTCTAAAATCTTCCACCACTCTAGCAACATGTCTATTTAAATCCCCTCAAATAAAAAATCTTTCTTCAAAAACTATCATTTGTATTAATTTTTCTAGATCATTCCAAATATTTTTTTGAACTTATACCTAAACTTACTTTAGAAACATAAGCACTTATAACATTAAAAAATTTCAGTATCAAAACAATCTTTAAGGTTAATTCTATCTCCAATTCTATTAATTTTATAACATTATCTTTCTAACTCTTATCTATAATTACATCTACACCATTTCCAGTACGACTCCTACTTGAATGCCAAAGTTTAAAACCTAAGCTATCAATCTCCTTAGTCTTTTTTCTATCCCATTTAGTTTCTTGAATACATAAGATATTTATCTTCCTATAAACCAAAATATCAACTAAATTCATTAATACATGTATGCATATATAGCTTATTTAACAAATAAACTAAAGATCATAATCAAACTTAACCCTCTTTAAAAAAAAGACTCAAATATGAACAGTTAATGAATGAAACACTAGGTCTCAAAAGTCATCATTTTCCTTCTGCTTTTATTTATTTATTTATTTTTATTTTTTGATCCTCCAAGCGTTCATTGGTTCATTTTGTATTGTTCAAAAGAATAGTTGGTGGGTATGTTAGATTGGCAAAAGTCTCCAAACAAAAGGTTCTGGTTTGGCTCCAATAAAATGTCTCACAAATAGGGCCAGATTTAGATGAAAAATTTAGTGACTATTATCCTAATCTTAAACCACAAGATATTCCTTTGATCAATATTTGAATTAAACTCTTGTGGAAATCAATCACATTTTCATTAATCAGTACAATGCCAATTTAAATATAAGCTAAGCATAATTTAGCATAACAATTAAAAGTTTATCATTATAATTGATTCCAAATGCTAAAGATAGGAGATGGAAAACAAAAAGAGATCAAAGTTCTCCAACAAACATTTCATCAAAGGCCTCCCCAGTTTGAATTTGTAAAAAAAAGGGTAAATTGTAAGAGAAAAAAAAAAAAAAGAGATGAGAAAAAAAAATGGAAGGAAGAGGTCACTCCACTCTCTAATCAAAAGAATTAACCCCATTCAAGGCATTCTTGGAAGTATCACTTAACTGCAAACACTTCTAGCTTTCATTTACATACTGGAAATACAAGCGGACACACAGGCAGATAAATTTTCAAATAAAAGCTATTTCAACTGCCGTAAGACGTGAAAAAATCAGTAAAATACCTTGACAATGAGCTTCTAGTGTTGGGCTGATTGGCATAAGTAGTGAGGGGAGTTCTCATTTCAGGATATTTATTTAAGGCGCCCTCAAGTTGTTGAGCAGGTAGCTGTATCCAAGAAGATAAATAAATAAATAAAATAATAAAAAAAAAGTCAGACATCCTTTTCAAACAAGGGCATGTAAAAGAGAAAGAGTGGGAAGAAAACACAGTAAAAACCTGAAGCAGGACATTAAATGAATGTGGCATTGTCTGAGAAACACATTTCAGAAATCCAACCCATAACTTTGGCATCCTCCAAATCTATATGATCATAAAAAGCAAACTGAATTAATTCAAAAATCCTGTACAAAAAGTAATACAACAGGAATGATAATAACTGACAATTTTCTTTACATTCAGAAATCAGACAGAAGCGCTAATACAAGCAACCATGCATTTGAGGGGGGCCTTCTTACCTGTCTACCAACCAGACGAGAAAGAATTCCCATCATGAATTCAACCTGCACAGAAAGAAATATAGTAATTGTTAGGTAACAATAGAAACTAAACATTAATTAAACACCAAGATTAACTTTTACGAGTTTATCTATTCAACCAAATGCTCCCCTTTGCATGAAAGAAATGCAAATGAACGCTAAATGAGTAAAAAAAATAATAAAAATATTAATAAAAGTGCTTAGTAAACATCCCATGTGCAGTTAATGCATATACAAGAGAAATAAAAATTCAAAGATCTCAAGTCATTGTAATAGTTCTTTTAGGATTAAATTAAAACTACCAATTTTGTTATGATAGAAGCAACAACAACCACTCTCAAGATAAAAATTTAATGTTTCGATCCAATAAGCCATGGAATGCCTGTACACTGAAAAGAGAGCAATTGCCCTAACAAGATAAATATTTCAAGATAATGACACAAAAAAATAATAATAATAATAATGATACAGAGAAGGTCAGCATGGCCAGGTTTAATAATAAAAAAAAAATCATTAATTTTTTTTCTCCAAGGTTCAGGTTCGAGCATGCTCTAGTGCTTGGCGCTAAGCATTTATCCAAGAATGACATGCTTCATAATCGTATTCACTCTTTCTTGCGAGTTTCTGGCATTAACGCCTAGGGGTGTTAGTGTCCTGTTCTTCTAGCTTTAGATTGTGGCTCAAAGCATATGTTCAGCGGACAGCTTGAATCATTTCAGCTGGTAAACTTTTGCCCTATCTATTCGTCATCAAGCTGGATCAGAATTAAGGTATTTTGTAAGATTAAGCGTAAGTTTTGAGATGATAGATGAGTAAACCACAAACCAAAAAACCAAAAAATAATAAAGAATAAATAATTCATAAATATGCCATAAATAATAATCTAAAACTTTTTCACATTCTCCAACATTAAAGTGTATGTAAGCTAAGTGATTTTTCAATCTTTTAACACCACCAACAATTCACTTGAAAGAGAATTTATAGTTTAAGAAGAATGCAATGTCTGCACTTTTTTGCACCTCCTACTTTTTTTAACTAGACATCATATTTTCAGGTTGGATCTTTTTTTTCTAGCATGATATACTATAAAAATATACTAACTAATACTAATAATAATAAAGATCTAGTTAAATAAACAAAAAAACTAAATAAAAAATAATAATCAACAGAGAACAGGAAAAAAAAATTAAAATAAATAAAAACTCTAAATAATAATAAAAAAAAAACTAAATAAAAAATAATAATCAACAGAGAACAGGAAAAAAAAACATTAAAAATAAATAAAAACTCTAAATAATAAAAAAATAAAAAATCATATTAAGAACAAAAAAAGTTAAAAAATAGTAATGTTTCAAAATAAATCTTTTAAAAATAGTTAAAAGATAAACTAATATAAATTTTTTTAAGAAATAAGAATTCAAATTTTAAAAAAAGTAAATAAAATTTTTAAAAATAATTATAAAACTAAATAAATATTTTAACAAAATTAATAATTTTTTCCTAAAACAGAAGAAAAAAAATCTTACAGATTGCTCACAATCGCTTGCAACCCTACCTGCTCATACTTGTATGCATCATGTTTGCCACTCTCATTCAACTCTCAATTCTAACCATAAATAAATAAATAAATAAATAAGTTGAAACCTGTTATAAGCTATAATAGGTATATTACAATATCATGAAAAAAAAAAAATTCAATTCTTATTATGTTAAAATTTGATGTGTACCTCTTAATTAAAAAAAATATATGAACTTATGGGTTGTTTGGTTGCAAGCAATGAGAGTGTATTGCATCTCTTTCACCCACATTTCAATTTTTTAGTTGGTTCGAAGAAATAAAATACAAGACCTTTGTTTAAGGTATTCCTAATAACCCAACAAAGGCTTTCTATGTGACTTCAATGTTCGATTGAATCGGGTGAATTCTGATACACGAGTGTCAGCATCTATCGACCTTTGCAGTCCCCTTCCCTACTCATTGGAAAAAGTTCACCAGTCTTCAAATCCCCCTTCGCAGCCTCCACCCTCTGCGGCCTCAGCTTGTTGCCCTTCATCAGCTTTCAAAGGCACTGAATATGCATAAACCCTCCAACCTTCACAGCTCATATTGGCCTTCATTGGTCCCTCCTCCACTCATAGCAAGTAGCTCGCTCATCCTGAAAGCCCAATTCATCAAACTTCCCAACCCATCTTAATCAGAAAGGTTTCAAATCTAACCTGTTCCAGTTATAGAATACCGTAGAAATTCAGTCATGGAAGTTTTAACGGGTTCGATTTTCCAAGAGTTGAAGATATTATAACCATATGATGAAAATGAAATTCTTCTGTTTCGTTAGAAGGGTGCGTATGTTTCGAGTTCATCTCACAACTTCAACATGGTTAGGATGAATTTCTGAAACATTTAAAATTGGAAAACTTGAATGCAACCGGTAAAATTTCTTAAACATTTTCTGAGATTGAGATGTATCCGGTAAGAGTTCCTTATTCTCAAAAAAAATCAATTGCTTCTATCAGAAGGAAGGTGATACCGGAGATCCAAAGCACACGAGGAAAAATAGATAATATTACTAAAATAAATAAACGGTTACAACTAACACACTTGAAAGAGGAAATACAATAACACGACACAAGCAAACGCCACTAAAGTGTATCTCAAGCGTGGTGAGGATCGGTTAGGTGGACCAAAATGTTTGGTGGGGTTGGCCGCAACAAAGGAATGCTAGTAGCATTAAAAGGGAGATGCAAAAATGCAGGGACAACAAATATGGTGGTCGTCCTGGGTGATGGCAGTGAGGAGTTGGGGTGGATCCTGGTTGTTCTGGGTGGCAGCAGCATGGTGGAAGGGCTGGCATAGCAAGAACAAGAGACGGTTTGGGTGTCCGCAATGCCGGAGGAAGGGAAGATGACTGAGAGGCTGGGGCTGCAAAAAACATATATTATAATGTTGTTGCGGGCGGCTGCAGTGAGATACGGTGATCTGGAGAGGTGTGGGAGGATGCGGAAGGAGAAGGGGAGAGATACAGTTAGAGTATCACCCAAACCATCAGATACAATCCTCAAAGAAAAAAATAGAAGGTGGCGGCTGTCCGGGCATAAATTTGAAGTCTGAAAGGCAAAAACTGACCCTAACCAAAGCAAAAGACGTCTTATATATAATGAGGAATAATAGATAGAATATGTAAAAAATAAAAATAGAAAGGTAAAGAAAAATGGAGGTAGACAAGGAAAATGCTAGAAAAAGAAGGGCTAGACAAGGTAATGAATAAAATAGAAAAAAGAGACTGAGATGCTGTAGCAGTTACAGTACTGCATCTTGGTAAAATCCTGTGTCAATCTCCCGGGGTTGGAGGTGAGCTTCGACTTCATTTGTTGAAACTTCAGGGTCCTTGTAGTATAAAGTTAGGTCCACGACATTGAACGTAGAGGAAGCATTGCAGTCTAATGACGCAGGTCGATCTTGTACGCGCTGTTATTCCACAACACGTCTTAATAGAATAAATATTCATCATTTTTTGGCATGTCCTGAGGTGGAACTGCATAAAGATGTAGGTTTCACAATATAACTCTCGAGCCCTTAAGTTTGGAACATTTTTTTTCCACTTCTTGTACTCAGTTGAATGTAGCTGATAAACCAACATGGGAGAAGAGATCAACACTTGGGCGGACTCTGTGTCAGGCTGTACCATTCTCACTGGCAACCAGTCAAGAGAGACATCTTCTTCACTGATAAGATCTGGATCCCACTGAAGAATTTCTCTCTATGTCAAGCTCCTAATATAAATTTTAAGGTTAGGATTCATCCCTCCTATCTGGACAACTGTGATGAGTACTATGCTGAACGGAATCTAACATGTGAATAAATCCATGTAATCTTCTCAAAATGACACAAAAAGGTCCCATTTCTGAGGTGTTGGACCTCTCTCAGTACGGAAAACTCAGAAATGAGTATATAGATTTACATGGTATGAAGTTCTCTAAAATGAGGTTGTCATGCTTCTCGTGTCAGTTCCTCGAACTCAAGACTACCCTGGGCACTCATCGTGAATTCGGTTGGTTTAGCTAAAACTATGTGCAATTTTTTTCTCCTCAACTGGAAGTCGGTCCTCTATGTTCTCACTGTCTTCAGTGTCTACTGTGTCATTACCCACCTTTTCAAAAGCGCCCTGCTCAGTGAAACAGATTACCCCCTAGTTGTGCAGTCTAATTCAACATGCCAAAATCTGTCACTTGCAATACTTCCTGGTTGTGACAAATATAGGGATGTGGATTGGTTCCACTTGTCCTCCGCTTTGAATATACTTTTCCTATGATGGGGTCATCATGGGTATCATGGGTGTTCTCCTGAGAGTAGTCTAGCTGTATGATCTTAAGGTTGAATTCTGCCTATAAGATATGGTGGTTGCTTGGTAATGCAGTCTCTCTACTCGTGAAGCTAGGATTTGAATATTATGTTTGTAGTAAGCTGGTAGGAATTGACACTATCTCCCACTTCATGATCAGATTCTTCTGTTCTCCATATGTAGTCTCCTCTCTCGGCCTCTTCTGATAATGGATTCGAAAGCATGATGGCATTCCTTCTTCATCACTGAAATACTCTCTATGAAAGGGGTTAAGAGTTCAAAATTCCTGTCTCTTTCACCTCTTCAACTTTCCCCGTCCCCATCAAGGGTAAGTCCCCCCACCCCCTGTTCATCCTCAATCTCCGCAAGTATCTGCTGAAATCGACTGATCTCTCGCTATATCTCTTCTTGCATAGGCTCGAACATGTATCTCCTTGGTGGCATGGCTGGGATTTAGGGTTGCGTGGTGAGAGGGTGTATGATATTGATTGCGGGTGCATAACAACTATTTAGGGTTATATCAAGATTTGACGATGGTATGATGTGTTTGGGAGGCGAGAGTGTATGGGATTGATTCAGGGTGTAAAAAAAATTATTTTAAGGTTATTGATTTCAAAAATTAGCAAAAAATTTAGGGTTGGGTCAAATTTTGGCTATGGTTTTGCGTGTTTTAGGTTTGAAAAT